AAGATAACATTGTTACATTCCATCATATTTCAGGTATCTCAAACTGCTCAGATTTTCTCACCAAGAAATACTCAGGTCCTGAAATTCAAAAGACATTAACCTCCACACCATTCAAGAATCATTTCTTTTTAAATCTATAGGTACTTCACTCATTCTTTCATATTCAATCACAACCAATTGAACACCGGTTAACAAAAGACAACACAATATAGTTCCAAATCAAGTTTCATCATATTTAATATTATTACATTCAATAAATACTCAGAAATGAGGGGGGGAATGTCAGGTATTACATAACCAGAATAACCAATTATGCACAATTCATCAATACTCAACATTTCACATCAACTATAAGAAGAATCAAGAATCCACTAATTGTAACATTATATGTATATTAATAGAACATCGGAATTACCTTATATACACACAGTAGAGGATATTCTGTCAAAGATCGAAAAAAAAGTTTACATGTACAAAATACAACAGCAAAACATAACAAAAAAGGAGTCGTTCATATTTGTTCATTGCGCTAAAAATTGTTTTTGGTTTCGCTAAATATATGACATAAAGCTTGGTCCATCATCATAATCATCAACACCTAACATTGCAGATGGGTTGACTTTTGCAAAATCCTCATGATGTAAGTCATGTTGATATTTTTCATTCTCCAAACGATTTTTCATCTGCAAAAAATCATTTCCATAGGCCTCAATGGAAAATCCTGCTAGAGGGTTAAGCTCTTTTGCTGGTTGCGGAAGAAGTGTATTAAATTTTGGCTTCTCTGAGATTGGGTTATAATGCATCTGAGTATCAAATAAATCAACCAAGTTTGCCGAATCATCAAAATCACATAGATCCTCATAGTTTTCTTCTGCTGACCTGTTAGATCTAGATGCTGGTGTGTACAAAAGTTTAAAGTTCAGAATATGAGATCCTTCGTTGTTTTCCGATTTCAAGAGCTCAAGATCAACAAGATTCTTGATACCTTCATTTTCCTTGTCATTTGTGATCTTTCGATTTTTACCTTTCCCCTTGCATTTATGGTCCTTTGTTTCATTCTTTTTGGTCTTCACACTCTTTGGTTTTTTCGCTTTGCCTTGAATGCTCCCAAGAGCTTCAAAAGTTTTTTGTTTGGGCTTTCTTCCTCTTTTCTTTTTTGGTTCTTGAGTCTTAATGGTTGGGCTCTGCTCCAAGTCTTCTGTGGCCATTTTCAATATTTGGTAAGTATCGAAGTCATCAAAGCTGTCTAATGTTGTTGGAGTAACAGATGTTTGAGTGTCTGACTGATATTGATCAGCTTCGCGCCCTTGATAATTTGATGGTGAGCGTCCACGCACAATCAATGGTGGTGTTTCAGTATAGGCTAATGACAAACAGCTGCTGGAGTCTATGAAACCAACGAGCTCAACGATTAATTTGAATCTCTTGTTATTCAATGCCGGCTTTTTATAATTTATGGATGATGAAAACTGGATTCTTTCATAACGTGCAACTTTGATTATTTTATCTGTTGGGTATTCCAATAAACCCTTGATTTTCAGCTCATCATTACTTTTGTCATCCCTATCAAAAAAGAATATTCTATTCAATTTGGCTATTTTTGATGTGTTTCTAACATTTGCTGCCTCTCTAATTATATTGTGATCTGGAAGATCACTAGGTACTGCTGGATGAGTTGGTGGTTCAAACTGAGGTCCTCTATCTCTTTTTGCGGTATGCTGGACTAAGGTGACGTTTGTTCCATCATCAGCACATTTTGAGGTCAACCTGATGCCAAAGTATTTGATTTTGGTTTTCAGATTTGTTTCAGGATTGATAATGTAATGGTCATCAGCAGCAAACGTCAGAAACGATAGATTTTCAAAATAGTAAGAGCTGACTAGTGTGAAATAATTCCGTTTGTAACCAACCCACTCATTGTCAATTCTTTCAAAGCCTCTGTCTATACGTGGTGTTAAAACTGGGGTCAATTGTTCTCCTTTTGAGTTTAAAATGGCATGTTGAACAAATGTCGGTGTGAACTGAGGACCGACCTTGAATTGTAAACTGGATCTTGGGGCTAACTTCTTTTTTGAACTGCACAATGAGGAGTGTAAACTCAACCTTTTTGATTCAGGCTTCACTGGTGTTTCAGCCATAACGGAATTCAACTTCTTCACAAACCACAAAACTGAAGTTGATGGACAACTTTTGAAGGGTACCACTAAAGGCGGTCTTTTGATTTGTTAATCGGGATACTTGTGGTTGTTGAAATCCATATATCAAAATCAATTTTAATGCACCACAAAATCAAGGTGTACACAAAAACTGAATGTTGTTTATCTGGTGGATTAATTTTGTGTTTGTGGTATTGGGTCATACTATATCTCGACTTTGAAATTTTGGAAACGAGATCTAGTCAATATCAAGTTGGGCTTTCTAATTGAATTTTGAAGTTAATTCAATGGCAATTGCTCGGTCAAAAAGAAGATCTAGATCGATGTCTTGCTTGTGATACTGGATTGCCACCCGCTGTCGATCCAGAGAGAGCTTGGAGGAAAGATATAGATTTCAGATGTTGGATTATTCGATTTTGTGACAGGAAATGTAAACACTGCGCTTACCGAATTTCGGATTATGCGTATCAAGGACAACCAGCGTCTATATTTGTAGGCAATATGTTTCGAAGTTATAACAAACTGTCAGAGTATTATAAATTTTAGCTTGTCAGTTAACTCACTACACAAGCTTGTAGCATTTTATTAAAAATTGAGTAAAGTATACTAATTGTACTAGTACAGAATTCGCGAAACCCCCGGCTTTGAGCTCATCGGCCTCGGATTAGAAAAAAATTTTAATGGTATAGTTTTTTTTTGTATTTGGTTTTGGTTTGATACGCTTGGATCCAACTTTCTCAAGCACTAGAAATCACTTGCTAATAAAACCAATACAATGGGTAAAAAAGCTATTGATGCTAGGATCCCTGCGCTTATCCGTAATGGGGTTCAAGAAAAAGAGCGAAGCTTTTTCATCATTGTGGGTGATAAAGCTCGTAACCAACTCCCAAATTTGCACTATTTAATGATGTCTGCAGACCTTAAAATGAACAAATCTGTTCTATGGGCTTATAAAAATAAGTTACTAGGATTTACCTCACATAGAAAGAAGAGGGAAGCTAAAATCAAAAAAGATATCAAAAGAGGTATCAGAGAGGCGAATGAGCAAGATCCTTTCGAATCATTCATTTCAAACCAAAATATTAGATATGTTTATTATAAAGAAACAGAAAAGATCTTAGGTAATACCTATGGTATGTGCATATTACAAGATTTTGAAGCCCTTACTCCAAATTTGTTAGCGAGAACTATAGAAACAGTTGAAGGTGGTGGTATTGTTGTGCTTTTGTTGAAATCGTTAACATCCTTGAAACAGTTGTACACTATGACAATGGATATTCATAAACGTTACAGAAATGACAATCATGGTGATGTTATTGCTCGCTTTAACGAGAGATTTATTTTGTCGCTAGGGTCATGTGAGAATTGCTTGGTTGTTGATGATGAATTAAACGTTTTGCCTTTATCTGGTGGAAAACATGTCAAAGCTCTTCCACCAAAAGATGAAGATGAGCTAAGCCCTAAAGCACAAGAATTAAAGGCCCTAAAATCTTCTTTAGAAGACGTTCAACCTGCTGGTGCGTTGGTATCGTTGGCTAAGACTGTTAACCAAGCCCAGGCTATTTTGACTTTCGTTGATGCTATTTCAGAAAAAACATTAAGATCCACTGTTGCATTGACCGCAGGAAGAGGAAGAGGTAAATCAGCTGCATTAGGTATTTCGATTTCAGCTGCTGTATCTCATGGATATTCGAATATCTTCGTCACTTCTCCATCACCAGAAAATTTGAAAACACTATTTGAGTTCATCTTTAAAGGTTTTGATGCCTTAGGATATCAAGAGCATCTAGATTATGATATCATTCAGTCCACAAATCCAGCGTTCAACAAAGCCATTGTCAGAGTTGATATAAAGAGAGACCATAGACAAACAATTCAGTACATTTCCCCATCTGACTCACATGTTTTGGGTCAAGCTGAATTGGTTATTATTGATGAAGCAGCAGCAATTCCTTTACCTGTTGTCAAAAAACTTCTTGGTCCTTACCTGGTCTTTATGGCGTCTACTATTAATGGTTATGAAGGTACAGGTAGATCGTTATCCTTAAAGTTAATCCAACAGTTACGTGAACAATCTGTTACAAGTGGCAGAAACGATGATACAGAGGTTGTTTCAAGAGATAGTAAAAACAGCAATGAATCTGAAGTTCTAGGCCGTACATTACGTGAAGTTACACTAGATGAACCAATTAGATATGCACCAGGTGATCCAGTGGAAAAATGGTTGAATAAATTATTATGCCTCGATGCTTCATTATCAAAGAACTTGAAATTTGCTTCCAGGGGAACGCCTCATCCATCACAATGTAACTTATTTATTGTGAACAGAGATACATTATTCTCGTATCATCCTGTCTCCGAAAATTTTTTACAAAAAATGATGGCTCTTTATGTTGCTTCACATTACAAGAATTCACCAAATGATTTACAATTAATGAGTGATGCTCCAGCTCATCAACTTTTTGTTTTGTTGCCACCAATTGATGAAAGCAGTGGTAGAATTCCAGATCCTTTATGTGTTGTTCAGGTTGCATTAGAAGGTGAGATCTCTAAGGATATGGTTCGCCGAGAATTAGGTCGTGGTAAAAGATCGGATGGTGATTTAATTCCATGGTTAATGTCGCAACAATTTCAAGATGAAGATTTTGCTGGACTTAGTGGTGCTCGTGTTGTGAGAATTGCAACCAATCCTGATTATTCCAGTATGGGGTATGGATCAAGAGCTTTAGAACTTTTAAGAGATTATTACGAGGGTAAATTTACAAATATTTCCGAATCGTCTCAAGAAAAAGATTACACCATCAAAAGAGTTAGTGACAAGGAATTAGAAAATACTGATCTAAAGAAAGATGATGTCAAGTTGAGAGACGCAAAAACACTACCTCCTTTATTATTGAAACTTTCAGAAAAATCACCTCATTATCTAGACTATCTAGGTGTGTCATATGGGTTGACATCCAAGCTTCATAAGTTTTGGAAGAATAATAAATTTACCCCAGTCTATTTACGTCAAACAGCCAATGAGTTAACCGGTGAACACTCTTGTATCATGCTCAGTCCTTTGGAAAATAGGGAAAGCAAATGGTTATTTGAATTTGCTAAAGATTTCCACAAGAGATTTTTATGGTTGATGTCATATGATTTCAAGAAATTTACTGCTGTTCAAGCTTTGAACGTTATAGAAAGTGCCAAGGTTAACGATTCTCAAGAAGTGGAGCAATTAACTAGAAGTGAACTTGATAAGTTATTCACTCCATTTGATTTAAAAAGATTAGAGTCTTATTCCAATAATCTTTTAGACTTTCATGTGATTGTTGATTTACTCCCAGTGATTGCAGGATTATTTTTCAGTGGTAGAATCAATGAAGTTAAACTTTCAAGTGTTCAAAGTGCAATCTTTTTAGCAATTGGTCTTCAACATAAGAGTATGGATGATATTTCAAAAGAGCTAAACTTACCAGATAATCAAACAATTGCCATGTTTTCCAAAATCATTAGAAAAGTTTCCACCTATTTCAGAGGCTTAGTGAGTAGATCAATTGAAGATACCATGCCAGAACTAAAGGATGAAACTGTTGCTGAAATGGATGGTGAAGAACCAATCACTAGATTTGAAGAAATTGAAGACACCATGGAGGAGGAACTAACCGCTGATGGTAAAGAAGCAGTCAAGGCTTTACGTGAAAAACAAAGAGAATTGATCAACTCCTTGAACCTTGATAAATACAATATTGATGATACTAATGTTGAGCTAAATGAGAAAGATCTTTCCAAAGCTGCTGTTTCAGGTAAAGTTGTTGCATTAAAAGGCAAGGCACCAAAAAGAAAACAAGAGAGTGCAGAAGATGTCTACAAACAAGAAATGGGTTCTTTGAAAAAGGCCAAAAAGGGTAAATCCAAGAAATAGATAGATTTATATCCAATGTATAATAATAACAATTTCTATACTGAGTGAAAAATGCGGTTTAAATGTTTTGTAGTTCATTGATCAAAGAATTCAAAGACCATAGTAAGACTTCCTTTAATGTACAACCTTCATTATTTGCAAAGCTTACTATATTTAGCTCTTGAGCGATTGTTGCGTTAAGTTTATTCTCCACATTTTCATCTTCAAACAAATGCTTATGCGATTTTGAATAACCTGGATACACAAGTTTATCAAAATAACCAGGAGGATCAACCCAAAAAGTTTCTTGAGTTTGGTAGCCTGCTCTATTTTCTCGTCTATGTTTCAATGTTTGATATGATGCTCTCAAAAATATTCTAATGTCAAACAATTTGATGATTTTTGGGTCATGAAACAACATAAATCCATCAACAAGTATTAGTTTGAAATTTTTTTCAGCTAGAAGTTTTGATATTTTCGATTCGAATTCATCTAGCTCATTCTGAGGAATTGACACGCTCCCGGAGTCTTTCGTATCACTATTATATCTATTTTCATAAGATTCAGTTTCAGGGGAGAGTGATGCATTTGCTCTTATGTATTGTAGTTCTTTTTCGAAATCATCGAAGTTTATGGCACCTGGACAATCCCAATCAGCTTCGCCAGTAGCTGGGTCCGTTGGGATATCCTTGTCATTCTGAGAAGCCCTGTTAGCACTTTGCTCTAGATTGGATCTTGCAACGTACTTACTTTATAAAAATCATCTTGATGTAATAGTATTGAGTCTGGAATAATCTTGTGAAGTAATTTTGCAACAGACTAGAGATTCCAGTTAGCGCTATTCAGTGTAATAAGCCATGGATCTACTTACTGTTTTCCCGCTTGATGAGGCACCACCAATTCCCACTAGGACAGCTTTCTTTGGCATCTTCAAAGGCTTATCAGTCTTGTTGTTCAATCTCTGGATCTTTGATATTCCTTTCCTTTTTTTTGGGTTTGAAGAAATTCGCGAATCCTCCTATTATAAATTTTTAAATTCGCTTCAACAACTTCAACTTCAACCACTTCAACTTCAACAACTTTATTCACACCAAACTCATGTCAGACGTTATAAATGCAAATCCAACCATCTTGGATGATGGTGCGCTACCCACCAGAGCTTCAGAGGAACCAAAAGCAGCAACTCATGGCTTGGACCCACATTTGGCAAGCCTGCTCAACTTATCACTCATTATTAATAGCCACCATCACCACCACCAAAAACCAACAGATAGTGCTACACCAAGCCTAACTAGTGATCATGAAAGTGACGTTGAATCAGATGAGGATGAAGAACTCGAGGATCCTATCGACTCTCAAGAGATTTTTGATCTAGTTGCACATATATCGGATCCAGAGCACCCTTTAACATTAGGTCAATTAGCTGTTGTAAACTTGCCAGATATCAACGTGATCGATTCTGGAAATAAGAATGAAATGGCAGAAGTGATCATAAGGATAACACCAACCATCACACATTGTTCGTTGGCCACCTTGATTGGTTTAGGTATAAGAGTTAGATTAGAAAGATGTTTACCGGATCGGTTCAGAATTACCATTTTATTGAAAGAAGGAAGTCATCAAAGTGAGAACCAAGTTAACAAGCAACTGAATGATAAGGAAAGAGTTGCTGCTGCGTGTGAAAACGAGCAGTTGTTGTCTGTGATATCCAAGATGTTGGCATCGTGCAAATGAAGCGAGAGTAACAGTGTAATAGGTAGGGGTTGCAAACGGTATTCTGTTTCTTTCTGTTTTTTTCCAATAAGAAATTGTTATTGATATTACTACTCTCGTAGATAAACTCATTTGTGATTTGTTGAAGAATCAAAAACATAGGTGAAGCCATTTAAGGTTATCTTCTTGACATTCGCGCTCTCACGTGTAAATTTTTTTTTTGGCCTACACATTCAAATTCCAGTTAGAAGCAATCCGATTCATTAACTTGCCATATTTAATCCAATCGCTTCAAAACATCATTTAAAACCTCCGATTTGTCAACATATAACCAGTATTCGTTATGGGTTTCTTTATTCCTCATTCCACCTTGAAGAATTTGAAAGAATACAAGTAGGTTTCGTGTTCCGTTGTTTGCGCTTAAAAAGATCAATTAAACTAACAATCAATTAACAAAAGGTACCAAGGAGAAGATAGATCAATTGTGTCAAGGTATCTTTTGAAACCATTTTGGTACAAGTTTGTTCAGATCTTTCCACTATGGATGGCGTATGTATTTGGTTTTTTGAAGATGCTGAAAAAAATACACTAACATCAAGTATTAAGCCCAAATGTTGTGACACTTTTGGGATTCTGCTTCATTTTGGTCAATCTACTTACTGTCTTTTATTTTGATCCATACTTGTTAAGTGATCAACCTAGATGGACTTATTTCTCTTATGCTTTTGGTTTATTTATGTATCAAACTTTTGATGCCTGTGATGGTACCCATGCGTAAGTGTCATTTTACACTAGAAGTTTGTGGATAATTTTACTAATTCTATTCAGCCGTCGTACTGGACAAAGCGGGCCTTTGGGTGAGCTATTTGATCATTGTGTGGATGCAGTGAACACTACTTTATCCGTCATTATTTTCTCGTCAGTTGCAGGGTTTGGTTACTCATGGCTCTTGATTGCATCTCAATTTGGCACTTTAGCCAACTTCTATTTGAGTACTTGGGAAGAATATCACACTCATAAGTTATTCTTATCTGAATTCTCAGGTCCAGTGGAAGGGATTTTATCAGTTGTTGGGTTATTTACAATTACAGGAATCTTTGGACCACAAATATGGCAAACTGAGTTTTTCGAAGCAAATCTATCCTTTTTAGGTTTAGATTCTGATTTTAAATTCACATTCACCACTGCTTATATTATTTTTGGTGTCATCGGGTTATATTTCAATATTGAAAGCGCTAGAAGAAATGTTCAAGACCATTATAAAAATGATTCCAAGAGTTATTTTAAAGCTTTGAAAGGGTTATCCCCATTTTTCATCTATTATGCTACTGTTTTCGCTTGGTTAAAATACAACCCTATAATTATTGAAAAATATTGTCTTCCTTTTGTCTTGACAGTTGGTTTAACATTGGCATTTAGTGTTGGTAGAATCATCATTGGTCATTTAACTTTACAAAAATTTCCACTTTTAACACCATCCATTTTCATCCCACTTGCGGAATTTTTGATCTTCAAATTGTTAACTCTTATGGGTTATAGTTCAGATTCAATTACTGGAGATTTAATATGGACTGGATTTGGCTTAAGTCTTGGGTTTTATTCTCTGTTTGTTTTAGAGATCATTTATGAAATCACAACATACTTAGATATTTATGCATTGAGCATAAAACATCCAAAAAGTTCTTGATTTGAAGTACTACTGTTTTTCAGATATGGGACATTTTTGATTGACCTATAATAGAACCATCCAAACTCAATGAGAAACATTAGATACATATATAGAATGGGGGAAAAAAAAATTGGGTGAGATAAAAAATAAAGTTTATATACAAAAGTCATATATTTCATGTAGACCTAAGAAAAAATCATTACATAGATCATATCATTAGTTTGTTTTATTTGTCTTTCAGCTTCAACATTTTTAAGCAGTAGCTGGAGCTGGGGCACCAGGTTGTTGTTCTGAACCTGGGGCTAAAATATCATTGGCACCTTGTTGTAGTTTGAACTCTTTTTCTAATTCCATCAATTGTTGTTCAGCCAAGATTGATAAGGATAATGGGACACCGAGTAATAATGCACTGGTTGTTAAGATCCATGTCAAGTTACCAGCTTTGGCAACACCAGAATGGATGGTGGAATAAGTAGATGAGAAGATGTTTGAGACTTGGGTTCTTTGTTTTGGTGGGATGATATCTTTTAAGGCAATGATTCTATCATAGATGGTTTCATCTTCATCAAAGTCATCATCATCTGAATCAGATTCAGATTCAGTATCATAAGCATCTGCAGTGTTGGAAGCTTCTTTAGCTTCGCTTGCTCTTTGTTGTTGAAAAATAGCTTCTTGTTCGTCTTCAACTTGAGTTAATTTAACCATTATGACCCTTTAATTAATTGCAATACAACTTTCAAAATAAGTTCACTAATTAATCTTTTTCAACTTGTCAATAATTTGCTTCAATTCATCGAAAACTTGAAAAAAATCCTGAAACTATTCCGAGGTCGCCCTGTCGAGCGTTTATCGCTGTGGATTACATAATGTTCCGACTGTATGAAACATTTCGCGAACGATAAAAATTGTACGTATTTAGCGGCTTTTTGTGGTAACAAGTGAAAAGACAACAACCTTCAAAAAGTTTATGATCTTATCAAATGGCTGTTCAATGGTTATGCTGTTTCCAAAGTATAATTTGCTTCCCATATGAGCTCTATTATCAAAAAACTGATACCCACAGCCACAAAGTCGCTTCAAGATGATCTTGGAACCCCCTTAGATTTATCTTATATTACTGATAAAATATTGGTTTGTTCTTGCCCAGTTTCAACTTTCCCTAAAGTCCTCTATAGAAATTCATTGAATGATTTAATTAACTTTTTGGAAATCTATCACTCAGATCATTGGTCAATATGGAACTTCAAAGCTGAAGACACGGATGATTATTCATTTAAGCATAAGCAATTGGAAGGTAAGGTTAATTATTTCCCATGGCCAGATCACCAAGCGCCTTCATTTCAGTTACTTTTAGATTCTATCAATTCAATACATCAATTCTTGGAGAAGGATAAAAAAAATGTTGCTGTGTTACATTGTAAGATGGGTAAAGGAAGATCTGGTTTGATATCAGCTGCTTACTTAATGATTTATCAAAATTCAACAAAAGAGCAGGCGTGTTACTTATTCACTACAAAGAGAATGAATCCAGGATTCGGTGAAGGAGTTTCAATACTTTCTCAGCTTAGATATCTTTCATATTGTTCCTTATACAAGGTACACCCCTACTGTCCAGAATTTGTTGCTCGTATTGATCATTTAAGAATTTTATTTGATGAAGGTAGAAATCAGCATCTCCGGAGACTATCAATAAGTATTTTCTTTTTAAATATAGAAAATGCACAAAATAAGGTACTTGTTAAATCCTCAGACTTGGTGCTACAGACTAAAGAAAATGCCATCTATCATGTGGATCAACCTTTGAAAAGTCAAGATTTTAGAGTTTTGGTTGATAGTAATGAATCTTCAAGCGTGTTCCCAGTTTCGACTTCATTCAATGTATATTGGGAAATAATATCTTTGAACAAAATCCCCGAAAAGGATTTGAAAGGGGTTTTGAAAGTCAAATGGATGGAAATGGATGGGTTCAGAGGCACTCAACTCAAGGGTAAAAGATTATTTGACAAGATAGAAATCTATTTCACATTAGTGTAATCTAACGTATTCGTAAAATTTTGTTTATTTGTAAGATGCCGACAACCTATAACAATTATGGCATATTTCTCTATCCACCTCTTTGCTCATTTTCAAACTTTAGCCAAACACCATCTACAATTTTCTTTACTAATCTAATGGCATCACTTTCTTCATTTCCATCATCTTCTTGCCCGTGACTTTTCAAAATTGACTTGATAGAATCTAAGCCATATGGAGGGTCTATCTGAACTTCATCCAGAATGATAATGGACGTTCCTTTCCATCTAACATTTGGCATAGTTTTGTAAACGGAATTGAATATATGCTGTCCTTCCTTAGTTGCGTTCTCATTCCAAGTTTTTTTTTCAATTCGATGGCCTCTGTATTTCTCTTTGTGATCTGTGGAACTTGAGAAGCATCAACCTCTGTTATTTTTGCAATCTTAGAAGAATCAATCTTTTTGGAAATTACCTCTAAAGATTTGATATTAGATGTGCGTAGAACTTTGTAATTGAAGGAAGAGCCTGCAGCGGTTTGTGAAGGTACTTGGATTATTAAGGTACTTGGAACAGCAATATAGGAGTACACAGTTCCAATTGTTTCAACATCAAGTATATTGGACACTTTGATTCTGCAGTTCAACCAGTTAGTATTATTTTGATTTATCTGAAGTCACAAAAGAAACTTACTCTAGCCCTAAGATGCTATCTAGTTTCTTGGAGATATTATCATTGCTCATGTTTTCCAAAGCAAAGACCGTGATGATGAAAACTGAGCTCTTGAGCGTCTGAGGTGAGCTCTTGTTTGTTGATGATCGATCAAGCGTTTTCACGTCCAAAGCGCTTCGCGAATAAATGTCTGGATGTCATCATAAAACTTGACAACAGATCATAAAACATCAGTCAAAAGACTCCCAGCAAAACTCTTTTAAAGCCACAATGCATCCGACAAAGGAACCAGAGCTCTTCGACAGAGCAGATTTGGTGGATCTAGGATTGAGGTCGCCCAAGCCGTTTGACACTGGTGGAAATGAGCAACTTTCTGAGATGTTTGGCACTATGGAAATTGGTGGTACTGATGATGGTGATTATGACGAGGATGACATAGATCAACTTAATATTGATGAAGTTGACCAGGCAAGAAGTGATGTCCTCGACAATAATTTGACTGTTGACGAAGAGTTTCAACATTCTCTTAACGAGAGGGCAAACCAGTTCTCGGCAGCTGGAAGTGAAGGCAATAGTATTAATACAACATCCTTCCCATCTATCCCCAAACCAAAAGTGGATTACCAATACAATGATGACTTCAGTCTCGAGAACGAGTTGAATGACTGGTTTACCGCAAATGAATTGAAAAAGCTTCCATTGTTCAAGCAGATTTATATGAATGTGATTAATGTACCTGATTTTGGATTACTGAGGGAATATGAACAGTCCAAAGTGGTTCAGTTGTTGTTGAAAGAAGTACAAAAAGATGAACCTTTAAATGTGCTTTATTGCATCACTTATATCTCATTAGGTGCCTATGGTGCTCATAAAAATCTCAGTCATCATGTTGAATCAGTGAAGAAAAACAATCGTTTATTGTCAGAGAATAATATCACACCAATTTTGATCAAAATCATCACCAAAAGCTTCTATAATGCTAAAGAGTCAAAGGATAAAGGCTCTTTTCATTCAAATATTCTTTTTTTGTCTTCAACAATACTTTTCTTTCTAATATGCTGTGAACTTGATAGTAAAGACCAGTGCTCCCCAGTTTTAGATCAACTAGAAGAGCAGGACTTTCTCAATACACTAGTCATATTCATTGATGAATGGAGGTGGAATAGCCTTCCAAACTTACGAATCAGAAACATCATTGCGCTCTTTGCTAAAACATTTCAATTTCTCATAGGGGGGTTAAATGATCGTTCCAAGTCTAAAGATTATACATGTGCACAGTTCGGTATTTCAAAAGAACAAAATCCAAGCAAACTTACTACAACACCTCTAGACTATTATGTTTTCAGAGAGGACATTCTTGCAAGATATCCAACTTCTATTCCAGTGCCTTCAACCCTCCCAGCCAATTTTGAAAATTCATCATCACTATCGCAATTCATAAACATTGCAAGGACTTTGGATACATCAAAGTCGAATGCAGCATTACCAGTCCCATCCGTTCATATTGCAACGCCAGCCTCTTCTCCGCCTTCTACACCAGTCAATAAAACAAATAAGGTCGAAAGATCATATCAAACAAATCAAAGTTATCCATTCATATACCCTACCGTTTCGGGAGAGACTGAGTACGATGTTGTTAACGTTCCAAAAAGTATTGAAGAAGCTTCACAATTATGTGCATCTCGAGTTCAAGAGAAATTGAGCCTCAAGCAACTTTGGAACGAAAGAGATCATTTTATGCAACAGGAAAGAGGTTGGACCGATGCTCTCAACCATTCAGATTCCAAGTTTGATGATTATAGATTACTTGATCCAAAACCTGAGTTGAAACCCCTAATACGAGTTGAAAACTTTTATTCAAAATCAATACCATATTTATCATCATTGGTTCATGTTTTATTGCAAGTCATCATAAGCTCACAAGAGAACAATCAACTTTTAGAGGATGATAGCAAAGATACACTTAATCAAATGGATCTAGAGCTTATCAAGGCAAAGGAGGTTTCCTTGAAAAATGGAAGTTATATATTGGTGTTGGTATCAAAATGGTTGAAAGTTAGTCATATTCTCAAATTTGAATATTTATGTACATTGATCTATGATTCCAACTATTTTGCAATTTTGATGCAATACTTGAAATCAACTGGGGATTCCTTATTTTCGAGAATAAGAAACACAGTTTTGAATGAAAATCGTTACAGTTTCTGGTCCCAATGTGCTTCATTATCTCCATCCGCTTACAGCATCCCTAAACCCACATGCTCTATTGATGAAAATTTCTGTTTTAGTTTGACAAATTTGCTGACTATTGGCTCGTTAATATGTCACAATAAGACACAGAGGATAATAGCTCTTTCAGAGAAGGATCCAGCACGGCTGTTTAAACCATTTTTTCTAATAATCAATAGCTCGTTATGGAAACCAGTTTTAAAAATGGTGAAGGAAATAACCCCCTTCAATGGAAGAAAATGGAAGTCATACAATATGGATTTGATTTCAATGGTATATTTACATATGAAACCACAACTTAAAGAGAATTGGCTATCGGGAAGAGATCTAGATGGTGAACTGAAGGATGCTTATGGACAAGAAATTGCTCTTCGAGCCATCATTCAGTTCTATAATTTGAGACGTTATGGTGATGTGATGAGCAAGTTGGGTTACGAAAAACGCGGTAGTGACTTTTTCACTAGAGAGATGGAGCTGCTTGCTGTGTCAGATACTTAAGCATTTCAAGGCGTTGCAGCAATCTTTAATGAAAGAAGAGCGTTGTTTTAGTTCTAGTTAATATTATGAAATATTTCCCCGTTTTGTGAGTACACTGTGAAGACTATTAATCAGCGTAGTTGACGGTAAAGAGCTGTAGATTATCTTTATATAAGCGAACTTCAAGTTGAGCTTTTGAAAAAGGTTGGGCTTTTAGATCTAACAACCAACACACATCGCACATGATAATGGTAAGTTCAGGGAAGTATTTTTTGTTTCCGCTTTAGGAAACCGAGGATTTTATTACATAATCAATGGGATCCAAAACAAAAAATAAAACAAAAACAAAAACAAAACTCTAGTGACATGTAAACAAAAGATATTTGTATCTCCAAGCTCAACCCAGTTGATGATGTCTACGGATAATACTCAGCTTCTAAGAATATATTTGAGAAGGTTAGTCAAATCATTGGTTCCGCAAGAGCTGGGATCTGATTACACAGAAACGGTATTTCGTGAACTTTTGAGCCTCGTTGAATCTAAAAATCATGATAACTGGTATGAAGTAGATCCAGTGCTGAGTGCTATAAAAAGTAGGCTCATGAGCTCAGGGGGGCCTGAAATTTGGCAAATCTTTCAGGAAGCAGCTCAATATTTATCAAGATTTAAAAACTCGGAGTCAATTGCAAGATATTTAGTGTTTCTAGAGAATATGACTGGTGGTATAGAGGATACGCCTAGACCCAGAAATCCAACGGTTGAAAGAATAACAAATCAATTTGTGCGTGAAAACATTGATGCTGATGGTAGATCTGTTTCTGGTAGCTTTTTTGGGGGTGATTCTTTTGAAAATATAAATTTTGATAGATTCTCAGATAGAAGATCAATATATTCAGCTGCACAGCATAGAAATGATTCGAGGGATTACACTCTTGAAGAAGTGGCTATACCTTATTTTGAAAATCACATTCATCAGGATGATATCTTAAAGTACATATCCTTCACTTTAGTGGGGACAACTTCAAATTTGTTCCCATTGAACAATGGTGAAATAGAACTACCTGATAATTTAAGCAATAGTGAAAGTGGTTTATTGCATATTGTTTTTGAATGTGGCTTGATATATCAATTTTTGGTATCTTTGATTGAAAACTTCAAATCAAATAAATCATCCTCACCAACAAAAAATGCCATAATGAGCTATATTTATGAGGAACTCACAAATTATATGAAAATGGTTAATATATTGTCTAATAAGCAAACGTTCTCTCTACGGTCGCTATTTGCTGATTTATTGGATGAACTGGTGAAACTAAGATTCTTATACTTCATCTCCAAGAGGGTTGGAAATGAACCTGGCAACAAACTACTTTCTTTGGTCTACAGGTATCAAAATTTTGGAGACCATACTGTGAGTGAATCTTCTTCAAACTTATTGAAATACTCATTAGAACCCTTTTTGAAATGCCTCGCTTCCTGGTCTGTTGATGGTGAACTGATAGATAAATCAAATGAATTTTTTGTTTCGCGAAGTGACTCTTCTTCCAAGGATATAGAGGTCAGGTTTGAAGAGGACAAAGTACCCAGTTTTTTTTCAAAAGAATTGGGATTTCAAATATACCTCATTGGTAAGACTAACATTTTTTTGAAAAAATATTGTAAAGAATCAAAGTGGTGCAATTTGTTTTCACAGAAGCTCAATATAATATTCAACAGAGTGAGACTTAACAAAATTGCATTATTCAATGACAATGAATTTCAAAAATCCATCAATGACCATTACAGTGAAATCATCAACTATTTCAACTATGTTATTTATACAAAATTCAATTTTATGAGTATATTAGAATCACTGAAAGAGTTTCTTTTCATGGGGAAAGGTGATTTTATTCAAGCACTAGTAACTAATGGCATTGAGCTATTGAATGAACCATCAAATTCTTTATCGGGCCATCAACTGACAAAGCTTCTTCAAAGTGCAGTATTTGGGACTACAGTTAGATACCATTTGGTTTTTTCAGATGAGCATGACCTGCTAAAAAACCTTGATGCAAGATTGTTAGAAATTGGGCATGGAAATGTTGGATGGGATGTTTTTACATTGGACTATCAGATCCAGTCACCAATTAGCTTGATTTTAAATGACGAATTGAATCAATTTAAGAAAGACTACTTGAAGATTTTCAACTATTTATGGAAGCTAAGAAGATTGGAAACACTATTCATAGATGAGTGGAGAAAAGAGAAGAATCAGAGATGGAGACAATCAACTTCTTTTGGTCGTTCCTTATTCAAGAAAATTAACAGGATTAGACTGGTTCAAAATTTCCTTCGTGATTTTTTTCGAAACATAGAGAAATTCATTCTTGAAGAAATCATTGAAACTGAATACAAAGAACTTTGTGATCAACTTCGCCCAAAAGCAAAAAAGTTGAGGGTTCCTGTTGTTAAAACTGGTAATGATTTCAAAGTCGCAAGAGGTATTTTAAGCCCTTCAGATCACTACCTTGACGAGATGAATAAATTCAGATTGACGTTTGAAAGGAAAGAACATGGTTACGAAGAACATTCGATTGATGACTTGAAAAATATTCATACCCATTACTTAAATTCCATTACAAAACATAAGCTCTTCAATGGCTCGTCTGCAGGCTCAAAAGGTACGGTTTCAAAGAAATACTATATAAATCAGGTCAATAGTTTGATCAACTTGGTTTTCAAGTTTGTGATTACTGTCAAAGAATTTAACATGTTGGTGGATGAATTTGAAGGACACTCAAGGTTCGGTGAAGAATATAGTGAATCTGCTAACATCTCTGGAAGATTTTCAACAATTTACAACAACCTTTTGAAGCTGTTTGATGACTTTAATTATGAGTTGAAGATATTTATTAATGACTTAAGTAATGATGACGATTTGAAGATGAGGTACTTGGGTATTTCATTAAATCAATGAGGCGCTAATTTTTAGTCTAAGATGGTTTGACAGTTACATATCTGCACCAAAACATTATCTTCGGCTAACGTTTTTTCTCATATATTGTACAGGAAACATATTAGTTCAAAAATCTTTTAGGCTTATAATAGTTTGTCAGTGCCTCATGCTGCATCGACGTTAGGTAGAGCTGTATGATCGTTGTATGATATTATGTAATACTGCACGACGACGCTAAATATTTGAATTAATTACACTAGTCATGAGATCAGTAATATTTATTTATTTTTTTTTTTTTAATGACGTATCTGATATTAATATATTGTGTATATTTTAATATAGATTAATGCTAAAAATATAATGTACAAAATCACTGGGGACGATCAGTCTAGATCAGGTGCATCTAGTATGCAATATAATGAAGTACAGCTAATGTATATTGAATAATAATCTTTAGGGCATATATATACTAGTATAACGTCCTACTCATATAACGTCATATACTATAGCTTATAGACGACTTATAGCTTTTTAATATATTATTTAATTTAATAATTATATTAATAATATAAATTTATAATATTTTATATGCGCAGCTTTTCATTAACGTCAATAATTATATATTATAGCAATATAGTACAGTTTTCTTATATTAAATCGGTCATATCACTTTTTTATTCATCAGCTTATATATAGGAATGGCTTTCCACCATTCCTTCGACTACACTTTATACTTTTACTAATATTCTTTAGACAGCTTTATATATTAATACAGATTAACTATACTATTACATCACTAGTACTCTGACTATTGATTCAAAGCATATACTGCTACATATCGTACATGAACGATATGATCATTATAACATGATTCGCAATATATTAATATTTAATATTTAAATAAAAAAGCACTAGTAGTCATGGGCGGATAAATCAGAATAAATAATATTATAAAACAGGTAAGAATCAACATGAACGTCAGCTTATAATTATTAATTAAAAGATCGCCTGCTGTTTTTATAATTCGGCTGATTTATATAATTATATAAATTAAAATATAGCTCAGGCGCAGCAGCGCTAGTATATTATATTATAATATATAATATTTATAAGCCATGCAGATTATTATAATTATATAATAATTAAATGGATTAACCGTACCAGATGAATGACCAATTAAATCTGGCGGAATTATATCGACATGAATATCGCCGAGACGTTTGATATATTTAATTTTATTATAATTAAAATCATAAACTAATTAAATTAATTATTATATTTATATTCAACGACGTCGACGTCGACGCGGCAATCTGAATTAATACGTCGCCCATGATCTCTATTAGTTCATGGCCGAGAAGTAATTATAGCGTTATATGTGTACAGGCAGAATATCAATTAAATATCGTGGAACCTCTTTCTAAATTGATATTATATGTACTAGGTACTGCGACGTTGATCTTATAAATATTATATAAAATTTCAGGACGACCACTGCCAGATAGCACGGGTCGATAAAGATTGAATCTCAAATCGGGAAAAAGTAAACAAGACGTGAAAAACAAAATTAAAGAAAACACAAGCATCACTTCTTTCAAAACAAGCACCTTCAACCACTTTCAACGCAGAGAAAATAAGATTCTGACCCAACCATCGAGATGTCAGCTAATGATTGGAATGAATACATACAGACCCCAGAAGGAGGGTACGCCAAAACAAAATCAACAACCACACCTTCAAGATTAAGAACGATGGCATTTGAGAACGCCCAAAATCATCATATCTCAAATGATAGGAAAAGAGGACCTTCAACACCATTGACTCCAACACTTATTCAGAAAAATATTGTTAAGAAACAGTTTTCGTCACATGAAAGAAGAGAGTCACTAATAGAGAAAGGTAATGGTCACCATACAAAATCAATACATTATACTTATGATGAAGAGAACAATGATTTTAAAGAAAATGAATCACTAGAAAATGAACTTCAGAATCAAGAAAATCAAGAAGGATATATTTTCAGTGGCTCAAATAAAGGCTCTCCTGTGTCCAAAAAACCAGCACCTCTTGGAATAAGATTGTCAGGAAATTTGAATACAGATTATGAAAATCTGACACCAAAAATTAGAAATGGTATAAAACTTGCGGTTAAAGAAAGCAAAAAGAACAGAATACAAATGATGAAAGACCTATATACTAATGACAATAGTGCGAGTGACAGTGAATACAGTGAGGTATCCACTATTGCAGGTGATACACCGAACTTCAAGATTCAACACCAAAATTTAATCTATTTCAAAAATGGCTATTATTTAAACAATGATGATTCTATGTACGAATCTGAAAAAGAAAATCTAATCAACAAGAAAGAACTAAACAGAGTCAATGACCTTCTTGAATTTATGAAACTTGAGAAACAATTTGAAGCAGAATAATAAGAGACAAACATGATACCCCACCATCACCTTTCTACATTGGTTTATTTTTTTCTCCCATATATAAGTTGTATTAATATTATTTTTTTGTGCTATTAATTTAGTAGATCAAGTATACCGCGTGCTGAAATTCTTTCCTTGGATTCATAAACCATCATTTTTTTGAATGCAGTTTTTATAGAATTATCTGCCCTTGGAAGAATATCATCAATATCTTTTGAGTTTTGATCACTTAGCTGTAGTAGACTGAACGTTTTTGATTTCTTAGCCTCCGGCCATGATTCCAAAGTTGGGGTCCCAAACGTATTGAATATTAACGACGCTAGTTTCAAATCACTTACATCTTCAGAGCCAAAAATCGGTTCCGCATTCTTGCTAAAAAGAGATGTTGACAAAATACCAAAACTCCATATATCAACTCCGAAAGAATAATCAGTAATTCTAAATAGCAGCTCTGGAGCCTTGTATATTCCAGTAGAAATATCACAAATTTTGTTTTCATTAGTTTCTTTACCATAATTATTAGGATAAACAAAACTTATGCCCAAGTCAATAATCACTGGATTTGGACTAAAATCTTTGAACATTATATTGGCTGGTTTAATATCCCTATGAATTATTCCATGTTGGTGAAGAAATGATAATCCTTCAGCAATCCCAACCATTATCTGTTTACCCTGCTCCACTGTTAAATTATTCTCATATGTAGCCTTCAGAGGCTCATAATCATTTCCAGGAATCATGTATGGGTTGTTTCGTTGTCTTGTCTTTGTTGAGTTGTGCTTCAAAAATTGTGTCAATGTGAATGGGAAATATGGGAACACCATCACCAAGTCAATACCATCGGATTCAAAGTTATCTAAAATATGTATCAAATTGTGCTCAGATACACCCAAGTTGGTTAGCATTTCCAATATTCTCAACTCATGTCTTGAGCTATGAGGCGGCCTATCATCTTCTGGCGTTGTGATCTTAAGCGCTACCAACTTGTTGACACCTTCAGTACTGTCCCTTGCCCTGAAAACACTGCTAAACCGTCCACCAGCAATCAGCTGCCTGTCCACATAGCGGTTATCCTTAGTCATTCTCCCACATAGACTTTCAAAGCATTGGTATTCGAAAGATGTAGATTCCTCTTTTAGAGTCTTTTAGAGGTCGTTTGACAAATACAAAGCGAAATTTCATTCTTTGTTTGTACACTTGTAGTCTCTGTGCGCGACCTCCGTAAATATGGGTCCGCTCTGGTGGGTTCTACAAGGAGCTTTCTTTGCCAAGATCAGTCGGGCCGCCGCCTAGAGTGGAGCGTACTCTGTGTAAAACCAGGACCGGCTGAGAGACAGGTACAAATTTACTCCAGCAAAGAATTCATGTGTCAAAATCGAAAAGTCTCATATAATTTGTTTGTTTGTTGACAAAAAGCTTGAGGAGTTAAATGGCCGTTTGTTTGATTGAAAGCCTCAAGTGATTCTATTATGAGAGTGGAGACGCTAGATTGGGATACGATTTCCTTAAAACTGGAGAACTCCATAAATGATCCAAAGATTAACCAAAGAAATCTCAAAGAGTCAAGTTTATCGACTGCGGTTGAAATGCAAGATTATAAAATCCTACAATATTTAACCAAGACAAAGGGTGGACTTATTACCAGCGAATTCAGAAAGGTTATTTGGCCGGTATTATTAGGTGTTGAGCATTTGGAAGATGAGGTTGAGCCGGATTGGAGATTATTACCTCAACACAAGGATGAAGATCAAGTTGGGCTAGATGTTGAAAGATCATTCGTTTACTATCCTCAAAACATACCAAGTACGGACAAGCGAAAACTCAAAGACGATCTGAGAAGCATTATCACACGAGTTTTGAGAACATACCCAGAGCTCTCTTATTATCAAGGATATCATGACATTTGTACCGTTTTCCTTCTGGTTTTTGAGGATGACTTAGAATTGTGCTTTAAAGTTCTTTCAATCTTCACATTGGTCCACTTGAGAGACTTTATGATGCCCAATATAGACGTGACGCTTAAAATGTTGAAGTTGATTCCTGAATTGACTTCTAAAATTGATGAAGATCTTTATAACGATCTAATAATGGGCAACTTGGAACCTTTTTACGGTCTGTCTCCAATCATTACGTTGTTTTCACATGATATAACTGAATTTAGCACTATTTGTCAGATATTTGACTTGATAATTGCCAATGGATCAATAGGGGTCACCATTTATATCTATGTTTGTCTATTATCAAACAAGAAAGATAAGATTTTTGAGAAAATTTCAAGTACACAAGACTCAGACTGTTTTTCGAAACAAGATTTAGTTCATGACTCCCTGTCAAAATTTCTGAAAAACATAAACTCAAGTGATGTTTCGGATTTGATGCAAGATCTGGTGAGATACATGAAAAGTTTCCCATTGAATTCTTTGAAAAGTTTCAAAGCACTGAGTAAATATAGTGCATTGAGAACAAGTCCGATTGTACTTGATCTCAATAAGGGTATTTTAGAAAGCAGAATCAAGTCTACAGATAGAACATTACTATCAAAACAAGCTGAAGAGTCATCCAAAATATCTACAATGTCGCACTCTTTTTATAACAAAGGCTTTTCATCTTTCAGACACATAATATCAAGTAAGAGAAACCAACATTTACTTACTGTTTCAATAACCATTGGTATTGTTAGTATTTTATTGAATATTTTGTTAAATAAGGCTGATACATCCCAATTAATCAATAGAATTATACATTTATGGAACCATCATGAAAACATCTTAAACATCGGGATAAGGCCAATTAGAGAGTTTTTTATGAGTCCTTTATGACAGTTTATTTATTGATTCATTTTCTAAGTACATAACCGATTTATCACTGTAACTCAACATCATAAATGAAGACAGTTTCTGTACTAGATCCTTGCCATCCCCTATTCCCACTTGCACTTATCATGTATTTGTAAGTTGGGTCAAACTGAACGTCAGACAATGTACCTCCATGGTGTCCTGGAACGATCAAAAATGGTGTTTTCTTATGGGATTCTTCATACAACCTCAAGTCATAAATTCTTATATTATCATAAGATCCGCATAGAATATGGTGTCCATTTGGTAATGGCCTCACAACTGTAACTGCACCCGAAACTTGTGGGAACTTTAGTGTTTTAGAAACTTTAATCTCATTATTTGAATCCAAGGGCATTCTTAATGAGATTTCATCAACTGTACTATTCCTTCTACCAGCATATATGAAGTTACCATCTTGAGACCAGCAAGATGAGACACACCATGGTGGAGAATGTTTCGTACCTTTCAACCTCAAAACTTGTTGATTAGTTCTAAGATCCCAAATATTAATTGATCCATCGATTGAAGATGACATGAATATATTTTCATCAAGTCCTTGGTGTGTTGTTGTTGTTGTTGTTGTTGTTGTGGATGGCACTGTTGACGACGACGATGACTTTCGTTGTTGCTTTGTTGACCGTTGTTGCTTCCCATTTTGTTGCTCTTCTTCTTCATCACCAAATAACGAGTCCATATCATCATCTTCGTTGATCGGCTGAGCTTCAATATCCACCCCACCAGCAGGTCTGAACTCTAAAGAGCTTATTTGCCCTGTAGCATCCTTGAAGGTATTGATGATTTTACCAGAGTTTAGATCCCAACTATTTATAAGTTTATCCCAACTACCTGAAATGAATTTGTTTTGAGCTTGATTTAATTTCAATGCTGATACGGTATCTTGATGACCTGCAAAATGATGTACAATAGTGCCTTCATTGTGTCGTATAGATTGCATATTGATACCACCGTTTGATAATCCACTCAATAACCAAAGACATCTGTTCTCAATAGCCAAAGAAAATACTGGTGATAATTTCGGTTCATATGAATCTTTTGTGAGCATTGAGCGTTTAACAGGTATTTCGTTTTCCCAGTAGCCCTGAAGAGCACCCCCATTTGTAATAGAGTCAACTAGTGAGTGCTTTTGAGCAGCTGTAAGTTGGACCTCACCATCAATAGAACTGAAAAAGTCATATTTCCTTATAAACCCATCGTCACCTCCTGTGAATAACCATTTTGAGCTTGCCGATAACGCGATTGAGTTTATTGGAGATGAGTAGGGAATTGCCACAAAGGGATTGACATCGTATGAGTTGGCTAATTGAGCCTTAAACCTCATTTGATTGTAAAAAGATTCTAATTGATTCTTTCCATCTTGTGGAGGAGGTGCTTCATTGTCTTCTTGTTGATCATCCACTTGACGAGTACTTTTTGGCTCTTCGACTTCAATATTGACATTTCCGTCTTCATTAGCATCCTCCATCAGTTCATCATCATTCTCATTTTCAATTTCTTCATCTTCTTCATCTTCATCTTCTCCTTCACCTTCATCATCATCATCATTGTTATCTTGTTCTTGCTCTTGCTCCTCCTCATCTTCATCTTCCTCCTCTTCGTCCTCATCCTCTAATGGACCGGTTTCTTTGAAAATATCATCTTCATCTGCCAAACTCATGTTGATTCTGAATGCCTTAACGTATATAAATGTTGAAGAAGAGCCTCTGCAATTCTGAAAACCGTTGATGTTTATTTCTCGAAAAACATTTGAAAAAAGTGGTAACCACCACATCAGAGATTACATTCGCGAATCGAGAATCTCGAAATCTATAAACTGTGATTAGTTTTTTACTTTAACCAAACTCTTCAACTTCAAACTTTCAAAAGAACCGAAACTTCATTGTAAAATGAGCGAAAAGTTTGGGATTGAAACAAACCACTTAACTTACAAGTTTAGTAATGGTAAAGTGGGACTAGCAAACATTACAATTGAGCTTCCATGGAATACCAGAACATTGCTTGTTGGATCAAACGGGGCAGGGAAATCAACGTTATTGAAGTTATTAGCTGGTAAAACTTTAAGTACCATGGGTACAATATCAATAGGTGGACACGATCCTTTTAGAGGTGGATCTGATGCCTCAAACATAACCACTTATCTAGGAACAGAATGGGCATCAAATCCTATTGTGAGAAGAGATATACCAGTCACAGTGTTGATTGATTCAATTGGTGGTAATGTTTTCAAAGAAAGACGTGATGAATTGATAAAACTTCTTGATATTGACTTGAACTGGAGAATGCATCAAGTTAGTGATGGGGAAAGAAGAAGAGTGCAATTAGCCATGGGGTTGTTGAAACCTTGGAAAGTGTTGCTATTGGACGAAGTAACTGTGGATCTTGATGTTTTAGTAAGATCAAGATTATTATCTTTTTTGAAAAGAGAAACAGAGACAAGACAATGTTCTGTGATTTATGCCACCCATATTTTCGATGGATTAGGTAAATGGCCTACTAATGTTATTCATATCCAAAGTGGTAAAATTCTGAAGAATTTGGAGTATGAAAAAGATATCAAATTTGAAGGTGGAAATGGTGCTGATGGTGATGGTATTCAGCAACATCTATACGATCCAATTATAAAAACCACGGAGGAGGATTTCATCAAGATTCAATCGATCAATAGCTTACATCCATTGGCATTAGAGTGGTTAAGATTGGATTTGATATCCAGGGGAGAAAGGGAAGAGGGTGATTTAAACAGACCAAAGTGGGAAGATTTGCAAAAAGAGTTGGCTCTGTATTATGATGGTGGTGATAGAGTTACTGATTATTTCAAGAGTACTCGTACCAAAGATTAGAACAATTGAAATTTTCAATTGAGAAACAACAGAAGACAAGAAGGCATTCAACAAAGCCCATTATTATATAAACATGACAGTAACGAAGTAATGATTTTTTCAACAGATCAATCCACATTAGATATATATTTAAGCCCAGATGAGTAGTACTGATACCGATCATTGACATTGATTCACGAAATTGTACGCCAGCGCCAGCCTGTTCATGGAATTGTATATAAGATCATGAATAATGAATAATAAACGAGGTCTCAGTGGGTCGATTATATTCTATGTAACTTGTGAGTTCAGGAAAAGGATGTAATCAAAGCTTTGAAATTGTGACATCAAATGATACACGGTGTAGAACAGATTTCAAAGCTAGTCCTCTTTTGGCATGTCTTCGGTGCGTGGAGGCCTTGTAGCTATGCAGCAGTAGCATGTTAAACAAGAGAAGACACTGGCATGATAAAATCAAAGGATCTCGCTTTTTGAAACGGTTTCATACCAAACTGTCATCATGTTAATACTTGAATCTTGATTATAAATGGCCCCATACTGGTGTGCCACAACCAGACGTTGTCACTATTATCGCTCGTTTAACTGTTTACGACGAGACCTTTAAAATTAAGAGCTACTACTGTTGACTGGAAGCTCGGAACCTCAGTGAACCGATAGTACCTCAATTTATAATAGACCAGAAAATTTACAAGAGTGCAATTCTTTTCGATTACACTCATGGCCCATCACCGCTCTTCTCATGTTGTTCTCAGCATCCTCGTTTAACTTCCTCTCATCGTTTAACGCGTTTTCGCGCTCACACCATTTTCAACAGCTTCGGCTTTTTTTTTTTTATTTTTTTTTCAAAAGGAAAGAGCAAAAAATTTAAAAAAAAATCCTCGTTTAACAACATAAACAACACCTGAAAATTGTATATAAGTAAACAGGTCCCCATACAGATCACACTCTTTTTTGAATATAGACCCACAGGCCACAATCATTACCAACTAGTTATCACACTCTTTCCCTTGACCTTTGATTTACTTGCTGATTATTTGCTGTTTGCTTCATACTATCAATAATGGATTTAGTGTTGGAATTTGTTGATTCCCATGGTGTGGATTATCTCTATGCTAAATTATTCCCAGCTTCCTTATCTAGTCACATCCCGGAAGTTTTACAAAAATCATTGGATTTGGGTAATAACTCCTTTGTCAACTTTCTTGCAAATGATCCTACTCAAAAGCTATTAAACTCCAATAATGTGGCTCTCACCCAAGTTCTTTCAGAACTTCAGGAATCTGATGTTTATGGTAAAATTCCTGTTTTCTTTGACACTTCAATCTATACAAATGCTTCATTATTACCAAGATACAACTTATTGAGACAATTTTTAACCTTATTCCCTCTTATGTGGTTCTTTGGTATTGCATTATATTTAACTGTTGCAACTTTTAGTTATGTTTTCATTTTTGACAAAGCTATTTTCAACCATCCAAGATATTTGAAAAATCAAATGTCATTAGAAATCAAACAAGCCGTTAATGCCATTCCAATTATGGTTCTTTTAACCATTCCATGGTTTTTAATCGAACTACAAGGTTACTCCAAATTGTATTGGGATGTTGATTCTGTAAAAGGTGGTTGGTGGTCAATTGTTTTACAATATCCAGCTTTTATCATGTTTACAGATTTCTTCATTTATTTGATTCATAGATGGTTACATTGGCCAAGAGTTTACAAAGCTTTACACAAACCTCATCATAAATGGTTGGTCACCACTCCTTATGCTTCACATGCTTTCCATCCAGTTGATGGTTATTTCCAATCGTTACCATATCATGTTTATCCATTTGTTTTCCCATTGCACAAGATTAGTTACTTAATTTTGTTCACTTTTGTCAACTTTTGGACAGTTATGATTCATGATGGTGAGTATTTAGCAAATGACCCAATTGTCAATGGTGCAGCTTGTCATACTGTTCATCATTTATACTTCAATTACAACTATGGTCAATTTACCACTTTATGGGATAGAATTGGTAAGTCTTACAGAGAACCAGATAAAGAATTATTCGATAAGAGTAAGAAGAAATCTACAAAGACATGGGAAGAACAAGTTGTGAAGATGGAAGCCATCAAAAGTGTCGTTGAAGGTAACGATGATGACAGAGTCTATGGTACAGAAGAAAAGATCAATAAAAAGAACTGAGTAGCAGTCATTTGAACCTCCCCACACACACATATATATATATATTTATATACCCACCTTTTTTAACGTTTTGTGATGAACCAATGAACCTTTTGAAACTTATAAACGATACATTTTACTATTTCTCGTGTAGGCCTAAATGTTTTCTTGGTTTATAAACACTATTGTGGTACGGACCCTCTTTTTTTTTTCCTGTCAATTTTGTGTTTTTTTTCTTGTTTTCGTTTTGTAGCTGAACTTGAAATTTTTAACTTTATCTTCCATAACTTCTCAGCGGCAACTACAACGCTTTTTGAAGATTCGGTGCTGAAGGTTGATAATGGGTAGCGGTGCTGTAAACGTTTTGATCAGTTTGTCAATACCTGGATAATAATCTGGTTTGAATGGGTTCTCTAACAAGTTTTAGTTGGTGATTCACCTACAACTCATTTTTTCACGTGGAAGTTTCTTTGTCAAAGGTCCAAGTTCAATGTGTTTGTAATATCAGAGTACACTAAAGCCACTTCAAAATGGCACTCTGAAGAAGGCGGCGATCAAGTGTTTGATAATGTTGTGTCATTTATATCCATTGACAAGTTTGTTCAGTCAAAATCCAACCCTGTATCATATGATTTGGTACTATTCGCCATTGCAGATACTGCGCAGCCAGCAACTCTTTGTCAAAAGTTGAAAAGCTGTCTCAAAAATGATTCTTTGATTCTTGTTGATGCTAGCTATGGTGTCTGCTTTGAGGTTTTGATTTTGAATGAATTGCCAAATGCAACAGTTTTATCAATTTTATGCACTGCTGATGTTAAACTAATTGCAAAATCGGAATACCAAGTATTACATGAAACTCAATCATATAATGTCCGTGTCGGGTTTTCCTGTTTCTCTTTAAGTGGTCTTTGTGAAGAGACTTTGTTATTATCAAAAATTGTGGAGTCAAATAAATTTTTGTCATTACAAAACAGCAGGTTGGACCATATTATGAATTCTTTGGCTAAAATAAGGCTCGTTAAGTATTTGAATCATACTGTCTTTGCTCGTTCTAATCTAAGGAACAGTGAAGAGGGTCAAAGTTTTGGATCTTATATTTGGTTTCATTGTATTAGAAGAATTGCTCTTGAAGTTATATCAATTACATTTGAAGAATTTGATTATCAAAATTTCAACAACAATAAGACAACTGCACAAATTGTACCAAATTTGGTTCATGAGCTAATAACAATAGCTGAGAAATCGAACGCCTCCGATATTTGGAATTTCTTTAGAAATAAGAAGAATGTCATTGAATCATTACTCAATTGCTATTCTGCTGATGAATTGAAGGTAATGAAGGTAGCTATCAGGTCTGATCCTATTTTTTTGCACCATACAGATACACAATATTGCTTTGCTCATGACCTTCATTCCCCATTAAAGATGTTGGTATATCAACCATTATACTTATCTGAACTTTTAACTTTACCAAACGTATCTATTGGATTCCTTTATGGTATATTTCTAGAGAGAACAGAAGTTAAAATATTGAAATTTTTTAGAAAATTGAAAATACCCTCAAAATTAAATTTAACTGATGATGCTGTTTCAACAGCAACTGATGAAATAAGAGAGAAGAATCTTTTGGCGCTGCAGAACAAAGATGGCGTTGCATTAAATGAATTGAATGAAGAAAATATCCACGATGAGTTTTATTATTATGATGTTGATCAAATACCAACCTATAGTGAAAATGACGGTGATGGGGTTGATGGAAATACTGCTCAAAACAACAACAACAATGATAATACCAAGACCGATGTCAATAATAGTGATATTAATAATGACATTGGAAACGCCAGTAAAAACAATAATAATAATAACAATTCCACACAAAGAGAGGTCAAATCTGAACAACGCGGTAAGAGGACTGTGGTTCAGGATGGGAACAGCCATTTATCAAGTGTTCATACAGCAGATGGGGTGAAACTACTCAAAAGTAATCCTGATAGGCCACGGGAAAGCATCCAGAAAATTTTAGAAGACAGTAGTAGAATTCCATTACAATTACTAAGGCCCAAAAAGGAAAGATATTTGGTTTTACCTATAATTAAATGGGATGGTTCACAATTTTTGAAAACAGATACAAAACTTCGAATTGTTGAAAGTTCAAGGAGACATGTGTTGTTGGAATTTTCAAAACAAAAGATTATAAACCCTCAAGTGAGGCCAAAGACACCTTCAATGAACAATGCAAGTTATCAAAATTATCATCTTGACACTATACAGTCTGCTTCCAACGATAACACTTCTGAAATATTAAGTGTCACAACCAGTCGATATGGACATGTTGATTCAACAGTTAATGCAAAAGGAAAAGTTGAGATAAATGTAACGTCTTCCTCAAAAAAAAGAATTAATGACTCGCCAGCAAGCAAATCATCAATATCAAACAGAAACAAGACAAGAACCAATAGAGATAATCTGATTGATGAACTTAGAGGATTATCAGTGTCAGACAATCAAAATACAGAAAATGACGTTGAAACAATCAAATCACAGTGTAAATAAACCTTTTGATTGAATTAATAAAATAAGTGACAGAGATTTGAAGATGTGTAGTCAGATATCTACTGAACAGTTAACTATTTAACTAATACATTGTACCCTTCTATATTATGATCTATAAAGTATATTGCTATTTACGAATTCATAAGGTCATTGTGAGCCATTCCCAATTGCTATTAGGAGGGTTCCCGTCAGTAGTTGTAGCACCATTACCAGAAGTAGAATTAGAAAGATTTTGACCATTAGTGAAATGTTGGGAATTTGAAGCACTGATACCACCAGTTGTAGAAGATCCAGCTCCTGAACCTATTGGATGGCGATCTATATCCATATTTGAATTAAAGTCAAAACTATTGGCCACATCTTGTAGATTGAATTGGTCATTTGTATGGTGGATAAATTGATCATCTTGTAAGAAATGATTTGGGCCAATAGGTGTTGTTGTTGTATTGTTGTTATTATCATTTTGGGTAGAACTGAAAGGGGATGATTGTTGTTGGTGATGGTCGATTGGCTCTTGCTTAACAGAAGTTGATTTCTTCTTATTATTTAGTCTTGATGAAGAAGATTGTTGTAAAGACTGTTTTCTATTATTTTTTTCATTCGACACAGTGGGTGAATCTTTTTTAGCAACTCCAACACCACTGCTCATTTTCAAACCAGTTGATTTATTTGGCGATGATGGAGATGGTGTATTTTTACTGCTTATTGAATTGTTGTTTGTGCTTCCCCCAGAACCTCTTTGTCTTTTCTTTATAACGTCAGTTTTCAAAGATAATGGACGAACAACACCATGCAATTTCAAGAATAAGCCACAAGCATTACATAGAGGTTGACCTTCAGGATTTCTTCTCCATAATGGGGTTGTTTGAGTGTTACAATTTGTACATCTTGTGTTGCTATTAGAAGTTGAATCATCCTTATCAGTTTTCTTTGCAGCTGAAGTTGAAGAATTATTAACAGCAGCAGCCAATTGGGTAGATGAAGCATTTTTCTTACTTTTTGAAAGTTTAGAATTGGTTGGTTGTTTCTTTCTTATAGTTGATGCCGTTGTGGTTGATGTTCTTCTTGGATTTGAAGGAGGATTTGTCGAGCTGTTGAAAGAGGATGACAAGTTTGAGACAGATTCACCACCCATGATTGTGTCTTCATCATTGTTCATAGAAGTCATGGACGGTATTCTTCTCAATTTGCTAGCAAAACTTTGGGTATTTCTTTGGGACAAAGTATTATTGTTGTTGTTATTGGAACTGAAATAATTATCAAAAAAAGAACCATCATTGATTAATGGAGTATGACTTGTTGATGATGCTGGAGAATTTGTTGCTTGGCTATTATACATATTTTGGAAATAGTTTTGAGATTCACTAAAACTATTTGAAATATGATGATTAATATTTTGATGGTTTCCAAAAGATGAAGGCGGATCATAAGATGAGCTTATTGTTTCTAAAGGATCAAGGTATGAGTTCAAATCATTTCCAGGAGAATCAAGATAAGTTGAATGGAAACTTGAAGAAGCAGGTGGGACATTTATGGCATGTGGATGAATGCTATTTGCACTTGAAGATATTGGTATTCCGTGTTGACTTGTAGTTGATTTTGCAGAAGGTAAGAAATCAGTCATTATTGAATCATTTTCATGAAAGCTTGAAGATATTGATTTGAAATTAGATTCTTCCTGACCAATTTTCTTTATATGAGCAACGTAATCAAAATCATCTGAAGTTGGATCCATAGTATGGTTACCATGGCCAGTAGCTGGTGTTCCTATGTTATTTTGTTGATGATCTTTGGCATCCATAAAGTATTTGGTCAAGTTTGAGCTTTGTTGTCTTTGTGAATTATTTGTTAAACTTGGTATTTCAGATAAATTCAAGTATTCATCACCCATATTATTATTGTTCATATTGTTAAGTCTCTTTGGTTCATAATCATTAAATTCCGCAACCATGTTGCTGTTATGACTTAGCATTTGTTGATGATCAGATGGTAATACGTTTTCCTTCATTAACTTGATACTCATCATTCTCCAAGTGAGGTTTTGCATTCGTTCTTTATAAGGTAGGGAAGCTTTTGCCTTTGCATACATCCTCCATAAAGCTTCAGCAGAAGAGTCCTCATCAACATGAGTTCCTCTTCCTAAACTGGACATAGTAGTAGAAGCAGCAAATATCTGAACAAATCAAGATGAAAAAAGAACCGTAGCTGATAAGAAGATATTGTTGATGATATGAGTAAAAGATTGGAAATTGATACAGATGATTTGAAAATTCCTAAGTTTGACCGTTTGGAAAACAAATTTCAACCAGTTAAAGCAGCTGCACAGTTTGTTATATTAGATCAATGAGAAGCCGATGAGAGGTGTGTGATGATGAAGATTTGTGGATTGGATTGAGCAATATATTCTCAAAAGTGTTGATGATGGTACAACGAGAAGTTTTATTGAATTGAGCTCGTAGTTGTACACCATTGTAATTGGTCTCTGATCTCTGAGCCTGGAGCGTAACTGGGTCCTTGAGCCTATGGGATTGTAATCTAGACAGAAGCTGTTTGTCGCGAGGATGCGCGGTGGCGGATGCTGGGCTGTGATTGGCCCGATACGAGTGAGCGCTGGCGTCTTATCAGGTTGCGCAGCCCTGCCCGGCCTCCCGCCAAAAGCCTTTTCTACAAGTGAACGTTGCTCCCACAAGAGGTGCGGATATAGCAGGAGCCTAGCTAAGAAGAGGTTGAAACTTGAGTTACACTTTAAAACACTCTACAATTACAAAACATGTTACACTCCTTAGCAGCGTATACTGTGTTGATCTGAAAGAACAATTCGAGTCCAATACTAGTCTTTTTTTTTTTTTTACTCTAGTCGAGATCATGATTAATCAAGCTTTCGCGAATTTCTTCAAAGCTTCTACAAAAAAAAAAACACATAAAGTTTAATCTTGACACGTCTCTTGAAGTGCAGATGCCTTGATTATGGCTAAACCAGTTACAACTAAATGCTATTAACATCCATACTAAAGTCATTTGTTGTCTATCTGTACTACTTGAAAAAGCTTTTCTACTCACAAGATGATCTAATTACAAAACCATGTGAACTTGAAAACATCAACTTTCAATTGATTAATACAGACCCTTCTGGTACTTCATCTAATCAACTATACCAAAATTTCCCATTGTTCATTGCAAGACCTGATTATTCATTCCAACATAGTGTTTCCGCTGGTGATTCTTCTTCATTCTCATCCATCTTTTGGACTAGAGTTACTCCCAAATTCAAAGTTGCAAAATCCAGTTTAATTCCAGTTTATTTCGTATTGGCGCTAGATCAGTGTTTCCAAGATGTTGTTCTATCTGGTGTTACATACACAAACTCATTAATAGATTTCACTGTGAAATTACATATAAGGAAGCTATCACCAAATTCAATCTATTATTATAAGTTTTATGATGAACGTGGTTCCTCTGTTAGTGATGTCGGTAGATTGAAAACGTTACCAGATAACCATATATCCACAAATATTCATCTAGATATAACTGATTCAGCAGATTACATCGGTAGTAATGAAACAGATTTTGTCTTACAATTCAATGATTATAGAAATAAATTCTTTACAAGACTAAGAGATTATAGATATAGATATTCAAAAGAATCAAGATCTTCAAATATCACCACCTTATTTGCAGGATCAAATCCATGTATGTACACAAGAGAGTTTGAAATGAATGATCATACCCAAGCATTATTGGAATGGTTTCCAATAAGGCCTCCGAAAAGACACCTGCATGGGAAATATTTTGAGATTGGTGATGTGTTGAGGATAAATATCTTGGATCAGAAATTCAACTCTACACCTCATGATATTGAAAATGAGTTTAAATCTGAAACCAGGTGGGATTTGTTTTATACGATGGAGAATCCAAATTTATTAGAATTTCAAACTTCAATTGGATTGAACAGTTCTTTTGTAAATTTGAGAGATCATAATGGGATGTTGAGAGTTAACATCTCCTCAAATCAAGAAGTATCATTCTAGTGCAATAATTACAATTTGGCCAACACATCTGGCACTTCAACTACATACAGTGCTACTTGAAACAAAAGGTACAATATAATCAGGCTGATTTAATGGTTCAATCATACCTTGCATTATGAACAGCAACTTATGTATCATGTACCACAATTAATAAATTTTGCACTAAAATATCATTATACCATTTATAGAGTTATCTCCAAGAGCTTATAAGTTCTTGCTCAGTTTTTCATCAGCTGGACATTTCATTGTACGTGTGGTATCTATTCTAGAAGCTAGTGAAATTAGTTCGATGTTAGTCCCTATCAATGAAAGACATCCAATATCAATAACAATTTATTCAGCAAAGTATATATTATATAATGAAAGATAAAAATAAAGTGTAGTAGATTGCTAACCAAGTACAATCAATTCAATTACTTGTCTGAGTAATAGCTTTCATACCAATACTACCTGTTAAAATAGTTGGTTTAGCAAAAGGTGCATCAATACATGGGTAATGAATCTGTTCAGATATTGATTTTTTATCATCATCCTGTTCATCAATTGGAACACCCCAGCCACCTCCTGAAGGAGTCTCAATACGAATTCTATCACCAGCTTTAACAAATACGGTATTTTGACCACCTAATGCAACCCTTTTAAAAGAACCATCATCAAGTTTCTTTAACCAATAATTGTAACCTCTTTTACCTGGGTGTCCTCCATTCATTCCATATGGTGCAAATACACGTCTTTGCATTAAACAAGTTGCTTCAATTGGTATAGTGAACTCAATTTCTCTAATAACACCATCACCACCTTTGTATAAACCTTTACCCCCAGTTCCTCTATTGATTTCATATTTTCTCAAAATACATGGGAATTTTTTTTCAAAAGATTCAGAATCTGTCATTCTAGTATTTGTTGTGTGAACTTGAACTGCTGATTGACCATGGAAATTCTCACCTGCACCACCACCACCTGCAATAGTTTCATAATAACCAAATGATCCATATTGAGGATCTGATGAGCCAAAAGTGAAATTATTACATGTACCTTGAGAAGCAGCACAAGCTTGAAATGCTTTGAAAAGGGTATCTGAGATTCTTTGTGCAGTTTCAACATTAGAGCCAGCAACAGCAGCATCTGGAGATGGCATGAATAGCGAACCTTCACGTACTCTGATATCTAATGGTTGCATACATCCACTATTCAAAGGAATATCAACATTAATCAAGCATCTTAAAACATAAAGAATACTACCATACAACACAGCTATTGGACAGTTTAAGTTACTGTAAAATTGGTCACCAGATTCTGTAAAATCAAGAATAGCACTACCGTCTTCTCTATCAATGGTAATTGTAACAGCAATAGCAGTACCATCATCTAGATAATCAACAGCTTTTAACGGTTCACCACCAAATCTATCATAGGCAATTTTCAACAAATCTCTAACGGCAGCTTCTGCTGATTTTTGAATAGCATTAGAATAAAGATGAACAACATCTAATCCAAATTCATTGATTAAATTTTGCATCAAAATTAAACCTTTGTTATTAGCTGAAGCATGTGCTTTTAGATCACTGATACAATCATCCAACAGTCTTGACCCTGAACATCCTGGGTATTGACCAGGTTTAGTGTATAATAAATCAACAACTTTATCATGTTGGAATACACCTTCCTTGTATAGCAATTCACTTTCAATAATGGCTCCTTCTTGGTATAATTCTTTGGAGTTGGCAGGCATTGACTAAAAATAGAGTTAGTTTGATAATTTAGGGGTCTGGATGATTTCAATACATACACCAGGAACAATGGATCCGATATCAGCAAAATGACCTCTTGCACATAGCGCAAATAAGACATTATTATGTTCATCTAAAATTGGAGTAAGCACAGTTATACTAGAATTTGTTAGAATATCCCTTTTGGGAAAAGATGTCTTTACTTACTCTGGGAGATGTGTACCACCAGTTGTATGAGCATTTGTGAAAACAACATCACCTTTCTTTAATTGACCTTTCCAGATTCCCAATTGTTTTTCAACAGCTAAAAACATAGATCCCAAATGGCCCGGAATATGTGGTGCATTAGCCAATAATTTACCATCAGAATTAAATAAAGCACTGAAAAGTCTAATCTTTCCTTGATGTTTGTAGAAATAGATGTCAACTGTAAAGTAATACCCATTTGTTCAGCAATGGACATGAATCTATGACCAAAAACAGATAACTGAATAGGATCAACAATAGTGGTGGATAACTTTGTTGACTTGGTGTTTGTCAATTTAATCATAACACAATCTGATAAGACAACTGCTTCACAATCAGGTTCTATCAATATTGTTTGTGTGTCATCAATGATAATGGAAGGACCAGTTATCATAGTTCCAGTACTGAGAGACCCCAATTTATAGATATTTGAATCAAGATAACCCATATTTTCAAAATAGACTTTGGTGGATTCTAAAGGTTGTGGTGCATTGGTTTTAACAACATATTCAGACTCCTCAAATGGATTTAATTTATTCCCATCATTGGATCTAATAATCTTTCTAACACGAGCATCTTCAGCAATAACCTCTCTTTCTAAAGTGAACCCAAACTCTTGTTGATGTTGTGAGATGAATTGACTTTTGAAATCCCAGCCAACTTCAGGTTTTAAAGTCATGAGGCAAGTATCAGTTCCCAAATATTTCATGTTGAGATACAATTCTGTTGAGACTGGTGAACTACCAACATTTTGTTCTGAAGCTTCACTTTCAACAACTTTATCCAAATCATCGAGCTTAGTTTTGATGGTTTCCAAATTCTCTTGGTTGTAGACAATTGATATCGGTGTTTGCTTTTCCACAACAACATCAGCTAAAGATATACCATATGCTGACAATAACGAAGAATATTTGTGAATCAAAACATTCTCAATGTTCAAAACACGAGCAACTGCACATGAGTGTTGACCACCAGCGCCTCCAAAGACTGCCAAATTATGATCAGCTGTATTATAACCTTTACCTTCAGTTAATGTTCTAATTGGTCTACTCATAGCTTCATTTGCAACTTTTAAAAATCCAATAGCAACATCTTCAGGAGTCATTTTAGATTTAAGCTCATTGTTGATGACTGTGGTTAGTTCCTCAAACAAAACTCTTGTTCTTTCAACATCCAAGGGTTCATCCTCATTTGGTCCAAAGATATGAGGAAAATGTTTTGGTAATAACCGACCAGTGAAAACATTGGCATCGGTGATTGTTAAAGGACCACCTTTTCTGTAACAAGCAGGGCCTGGATGTGCACCAGCTGATTGTGGACCAACAACAAACATACCATTCTTCCAAAACAACATTGATCCACCACCTGCTGCAACTGTGGAAATATCCAATTGAGGTGTAGTTAAATGAACTTCATTAACAACATTGGAAAATACATGTTCGTATCGACCGGAAAATCTTGAAACATCTGTTGAAGTACCACCCATATCAAAACCAAGTGTTGACTTTTTATTTGATGGTCGTTTATCATAACAAGTTTCAGCGTAACCAACAACACCACCTGCAGGGCCTGAAAGAATAGCACGAAGACCAGTAAACTTGTTCCAAGGACATAACCCACCATTTGATTGCATAAATAAAAGTTTGTTACCCATAGCTTTTAATCCACCTTGGAAACCTGAACCGAATCCAACTAGATATTCTTGGATCTTGGGTAATAAATAGGCATCAGCAACTGTTGAAGAACATCTATCAACAATACCCATAGTTGGTTGTAACTCTGTAGAGACAGAAACCTGGAATCCTAATGATCTTGCAACTTTAGCAACTTGTTGTTCATGTTTGGGATACAAATATGAATGGAGAAAACAGATAGCTAAGCTTGAATAACCTTCAGCTTTTAACTCCTCTAATTGTAGCTTGACTTTGGAAATATTTGGGGTTTCTATGATACGAATCAAGTCACCAGTTATGGCTTCAGCATCAGCATTTGTTTCATGTTCAAGACCACCACCACCTTCAGTATAATTCACCAATGTAATACGTTCATCAATCTCAACAACTTTCGAGTATAATTGATCCAACTTTCTTGCACTTATATTGAAAAGATCAGGTCTAGTTTGATTTCCAATTTCCAAAACATCTCTGAAATCTTTTGAGGTCAGCAATGCGACTTTGGCACCATTTCTTTCCAATAGGGCATTTGTAGCCACAGTGGTTCCCATTTTAATAGATTCTATGGTATCAACACTCAAGAGAGTACCCTTGGGAATTTTTGAATCATGAGCTGTTTCCAAAACTCTTCTAATACCTTCAGTGGGAGCATCTGGATAGTTATTAGGATCAACTGATAATAGTTTGAACACTAGATCTTGTTTACCTGGAATTGAGGCATAAATATCGGTGAAAGTACCACCACGATCAATGGCGATTTTGATACCTTGAGTCATTGTTGGGTTGTATAATGAAGGAAATCATCTTGATAGAGTTGAAGATACCATTGTGTTTATATATGGGTTGTCTTATCAGTTTTAACGTCCTGTTCAAAAACAATCAGATGGACGGTGGAGGAAAATCAAAAAAAAAAAAAAACAGTCCATGGAATAAATGAGTAAGAACACCGAGTGCTTGATACATAAGTACCTTCAGCTTCCCACATAAATGAATAAACTTGATAAAATGCGATCCTCAGGACAATGAAGGACAAAGAGGGACCAACGGTCATCACAGTGTTGCCAGAGGATGATCCATTCTACGATAGATTCACACCAACCAGGAAAATGATATTTGTTGGTATCGTTGCATTGTCAGTGTTCCTTTCTCCATCATCAACTATGGCATTTCTTCCAGCTATTTCCAAGATTGCAAATGATTTCCATACAACAGATACAATGATCACACTATCAAATGCATGTTATTGTATCGTGATGGCCATATCACCATGTGTCACTTCACCTCTTGGTGATATTTATGGGAGGAAACCCTTATATTTGATTTGTACTGCTGGTTTTACAATTGCAACAATATTAACTGCAGTTTCTCAAAACCTTGCAATGTTTTTTGTCTTTAGATGTATAACAGCATTATTTGGGACTGCATTTTTCTCATTAGGTGGTGGTATTGTTAGTGATATTTATATTCCACAAGAAAGAGGTCGTGCTATGGGTATAACATTATCTGGATCACAACTTGGACCGGCATTTGCGCCTGTAATTGGTGGGGTTATTGTCACTTTTACAAGCTGGAGAGTTATATTTTGGGTTCTGGCTGGGTTGGGACTTTTCACATTTTTACTTTCACTAGTATTTTTGAAAGAGACTATAAGAATATCAAGGGCAGAAAAATACAAAAAGGATCATGCAAAAGCTTATTGGGTCCCATATAACCCATTTAGAGTGCTCAAGGCTTTTACTTATTCAAATCTAATTCTCAGTGGATTCATGAGTATGTCATTGTTATACAACATGTATGGGTTGACAACACCAATTCCAAATGTCATGAACCCTAGATTCCACTTGACAACTCCTATTTACGGTGCATTGTTTTATTTAGCACCAGGTATGGGTTATTTAATAGGCTCATTATATGGGGGTAAATGGGCTGATAGATATGTTAAAAAGTATATGAAATTAAGAGGTGAACGGATTCCAGAAGATAGATTAAGGTCAACTTATGTTTCATTTGGGTTGGTTCTACCAATAAGTGTTTTGGTATATGGATGGACTGTTGAAAAAGAGAAAGGTGGAATGGTTGTACCTATTATCGCACTGTTTTGTAATGGTGTTGCACAAACTTTTTGCTTCCCAAGTATCAATGCATATTCTGTTGACTGCTTACCCCATTTAGGTGGTGATGCAATAGCTAGTAACTATTTTGCTCGCTACATTGCAGGTGCTATTGGTACTGGTACGTGTTTGATACAAATCAGAACAATAGGTGTCGGTTGGACTAATACGATATCTGCATTTGTGCTACTTTTTGGGTTTGGATCGTGTTTATTATTGATTAAATATGGTGGAAAGCTAAGGAACAGATCTAACAACTTTGTCTAGTGAAGAACAAAAATAATCAATGTTTTTCTCATTTAAACCAGCAATATTAATACGACCACCTTTTGTAAGGTATATATGATACACGTTGATCAATTTCTCAGCTTGTTCCTGTGTAAGACCACTATACCAAAATAAACCTCTTTGTGATTTCACATGATCCCATGAGCCAGGAGTTTGATATTTCTCTGTCAACAGGTCATAAACTTTGGCTCTTAGTGTCTGTAGTCTCTTTGAGATTTCAGCAACATCCGTTCCCCATTGAGCTGATAGATCGTCACTGTTGGCGATTATTGAGACTAACCTAGATCCAAATGCTGGTGAGCTTGAAGCTTCAGCTCTCAAAATATACCTTAACTGATCAGTAATGACTGGTGTAACCATAGGGTCTGTAGAAACAACATGTAAACATCCAACCCTTTCCCCATAAAGACCAAGATTCTTTGAGAATGACTGCGCAACTAGCACTTCCACACCAAGTTCAATGAAGATTCTTATAGGTTCACCATCTTTCTCAATTGATCCTGAAGCAAAACCTTGGTAAGCTGCGTCAATAAACGCAATAAGTGATTTTGCTTTCATGATTTCACCAACTTTTTTCCATTGTTCAATTGATAAATCAGAGGCTGTTGGGTTATGGCAACATAATTGTAAAATGAAAACAGAATATTGTGGTGCATTCTCTAAAGTTTGCATTAAAACTTTGAAATCAACACTTTTGTTTTCAGAATCATAATAGTCAAAAGTATGAACTGAACCACCAACTTGTTTCAACAGAGGAAAATAATTTGGCCAAGCTGGAGTTCCTAAATAAAATTCACCAAATCCACAATACTGAGCTAAAAAGGTAGCACCTAAATGACAAGCACCTGTTCCACCAATTGTTTGACACGATGAGACTAGCCCTTTTTTCACTGCATCATTCCCAACAGCTAATTGCGCAGCTGGTTCAAGGAAATCAGATGAGCCTAAGCAAAAAGTGTAATCATGACCTTTACCACTTTCGTGTAATATTTTTTTCGCTGCTCTTATTGATGGCAATGTATATGATTCACCAGTTTCGTCTCTGTAAACACCAGCACTGACATCCACTTTGTTTTCATTACTGTCTAAGGCCAGCTTTTTTCTCAAATCGTTGAATTCATCAGCTGGCTGAAATTGAAGGTTGGTGAAAGAGCTCATCATGGCTTAGCCATTGAAGAGAACATGGTGATATAAGGAGCTGAAGTTGTCTTTTATTTATAGTGAATTCTTATCATGGCGTCCTTCAGAGTTAGATGGATTTGAAAAGACGTGAAAAAAAAAAAAAAAAACAACAGTCAACCATTATCCAGTGTATAAAAGATAAGTACAACCCCCATTTGAAATGATGTTCACATTCTTCAATTCTTCAAAATGACAGTGAAGCCTTTAATCCTGCATCTGGATCCCATAAGATATGCACAAAAGCCATGGGAAGAGTTTGAAGAAATAGCACAAGTAGTTCATATTGGTGATGATTATACTAGAGACCAATTCATCAAAGATTTAAAAGGAAAATACTCAAACGTGGAAGGTATTGCGAGAGGTTATTTAACTGGACAAAAAGTTGGTCGTTTTGATGAAGATCTAGCTCAACATTTCCCTCCGACTTTAAAATTCATTGCCCACCAAGGTTCTGGTTATGATCAATGTGACGTTGAACCTTTGAGGAAAAGAGGGATTCAGCTATCAAATTGTCCAAATATTGTCAATAATTCGACTGCTGATGCACATATTTACCTAATGCTTGGAGCTATGCGTAACTTTGGTGCTGGTCATGATGCTTTACTTGGAGGAAATTGGCCCATTTTGGGGTTTGGAGCTGGGGTCAAAGAAGGTTGGAACCCATCTGGGAAAGTTTTGGGTATCATTGGAATGGGTGGAATTGGACAAGCTGTTAGAGACCGTGCTAAACCATTTGGGTTCCAAAAAATTGTTTATTATAACAGATCAAGGTTGCCACCTAATTTAGAGCAGGACTCTGTATACGTTGAATCAATTGAGGAGCTTGTCACAATTGCAGACGTTATATCATTAAATATCCCTTTAAACTCAACAACCCACCATCTTGTAAGTGATGATTTGATTACAAAAATGAAAGACGGTGTTGTTATTGTTAACACTTCAAGAGGTGCTGTTATTGATGAAAGTTCTTTAATCAAGCATTTGAAATCGGGTAAGATTGGAGCTGCTGGGCTTGATGTCTTTGAAAATGAACCACATCCACCAAGTGAATTACTGAATCTATCAAATGTCGTTTCATTACCCCATATGGGAACACATGCAGTTCAAACTGTTTATGACATGGAGAATTGGGTGATCGAAAACTTGAGGTCAGGTTTAACTACTGGGAAAATGCTTTCAGTTGTGTAGAGATCAATTGAATGTTGGTAACACTAAGTGGTGGATGTTTTGATGCTATTGGTTGTAGCATGAGTACTTGATAAAAACATTTATCACTTTTACGTAGTGTTGAAAGGGGTTTGGAGCAGAGTTGGTGTAAGAAACTTTGCTGGTTGGTGTGACAGCCTTCAAAAGAGGGATTCATTCTATCTATTTGTCTCAGTTATACCTTGCGTTTGAAGGGCCGATGACATTGTAAACTAGATATTAATGAGGTTAAAAACGAAGCATGCTCTTGAAATGATACCTTTTTATATAACATTGGTTATTAATTTACTATTGGTTGGGTAATTAATGGTTGTAGCAGGTACGTGTATACTAGGTTCAAGATTTTCAACATTTATGATATTTTTGAAAGTCTGATCAAAGTCTAACTACATCTATCAATCAAGTGAGCATGGTGAATCTCATGGATATAAGTGTTTCATTAATTGCTTTGGTTTTCAAAAAAATATGGTTGTTGTTTGAATTTGTCAAAATGTCGGAATTTTATCAAGGGATAATTTTTGTCTCAAGCACAATTAAATCATGAAACAAAATGTAATTAGATTAGTTAGTCTCACTTATATAATAGAGTCTCTAACTTTGATTAAAGTACTTGTGGTTCTGGAAATATTTCAAGTTACTTATAATGGTTGAAATATAGAAAATGATAAATAGAATTCTCAAAACTGCTTTGAAATTAGTACTTTCTTTTGACTCTACTGAGGAAGCCCCGGTTGTAGTTAGAATAGAAGCTTTGAGGTCGATATCAATTCGAATTCTTGGACTATATGTATTTTTGTTTACTATGGGTGCTCAAAATTTTTGTTCAACTAAGGAAATGAAATTTTATTTTGAGCTTGTATTGTTTTGAAACTAAGTATGTATTATCTCTCACGCGCACTGATTAATGTGGCTATAATCGTTTTTCATAGAACTCTTTATTTACTTGAGATATTTGTAATTAAAGTTGGTCAATATAGTGAAAAATCAAATTCTTCAAATCAAGCCCGAGTCTTACATAAATTTGCAAGTAGATACTCTGGAGGATTCTGATGTTACTGTAGGTATTTATATTTAATCTGTAGTAGCAGATTATGGAGTTATTCGATAATGTAATATTCTATCATGTGACAGATCACGTGACGGATCACATGATCGACTTTGTCACATATCAAGCAATATTTCAAGATTGAGAAGGTTTGAGAATGTCAGATCTTGGTACAAGTAATAATTGGCTTAACAGATTGTAC